AAGGACGATTGAGATTGAGATCATGGAGAGAAACTGAAGTCTATTCTGACCAAATGGAAATTGTGTACAAGTATGGATCAATGAAAAGAAAGAACAAAAGATGAACAAACCACTTTACACTATTCCTTTGACCCCTACAGATCCACCTGGTGGCACGGGGACCTCACTGCCATGGCTCTCAATTCTGGCTGCAGCGCAGACTCGCCTGAGGAGCTTTTAGAAGCACACTGTCCCGTTCCACCACAGTCCAACTGAATGGGGGTCCCTAGGGATAAGATATGGGCACTGGGAGGGGGCAAGCGCTGGAGGCCATCCTACAGCAGAGGAGTAGGCACCACGGCTCCCTGGATTTGTTCTCACCTCGAGTATAAGTCCAGCGAACACTGGAACAAACAGCAGAGACAAGAAATGAAATGCACTGGAAATATTTATTTCTCTTCAATCCCCACTTCTTATTCAGACTGCACCCTGGGCTATCCTTAACCTGACAGTGTCTCCCACCCCCACCTCATCCCTGCCCTATAACCCCACACCCAGTGAGGTAAAGGAGAAGTCACTTCCAGTGTACTCAGGGCACCAGCGAAAGCCCAACATGAATTATTCATCACCACCTTCCCATCATGCTCTCAAGATGGAGCCCCCAGTGCCGACTTGAAGTCCAAAAATGTGGGAAAGTTTATTTCTCCAAAACATTCCTGATTTGTAATGTGCTTTCTAAAAATGTTCTAACTGACCAAGCCCCTGCTATATTTAGCCACAGCATTTAAAGAAATGTTCCTTACACTTTATAAGGCGGGCTTTGAAACCCATGAGTTTAGGAAAAACTGCTCCCCAGTCTGGTCCCTTTCTCCCCCGGACAGGGGTGGAGCCTCTCCTTGGCCTACTGCAATGGTCTTGGTGCTGGGGGCAGAAATAGAAATAAGGAGTTTTATTCATTCCCAAGGCCCTTGAGTTCACAATGGCTGGGTGGCCAGCCCTGGGTGCCCCTGCTAAGCTCCTGGGCAAAGCAAGGAAACACCAAAGGGACTTTGCTCCTCTCAGCCTGTGAAAATCCTCTGCCGTGCGAAGCTGCTTATTTTGCTTTTGGTTTTGTGTTCAAACGGTTGGGTCCTCTCAAGAGATGTAACATTGCAACGAATAGATGAAAACAGACTCCAGCCCACCCGGATGGGAGAACTAGAGAAGTCAGCCCCCAGGAATCTTCTGTTACCACCAGAATTATATAACGTGAGCAAGACTGGCTGGTTCATGGCTGTGTTGCCGAACTAAGAAGTCACAAATGGCCTCCTAAAACAAAAGTGTTTAGATTAGAGGCTATGTCTGTATACAGCAATAAGACCTCCCACTATTGAATACTTTCCGTGTGCCAGGTATGTCATATATATGAACTAATTTAATTCTGACAATAGCCCTATGCCCGAGAGGTTTTTATTATTTCCACTTTGCAGATGAGACCTGGGGCAGGTGCTGTCCAATGAATGCATACCAATCATTTCATTTACTCCTCACCACAGCTCCATGAGGCACTTACTAACCTTAACCCTGCTAGTACAGATGAGACAGTGAAGGCACAGAAGAGTTCAGTTACTTTGTTGATGTCACACAGCAAGTAAAGGCAGTGCTGTGGTTCATTAGCCTCTGGTGGGCTCCAAGGCCACACATAAAACAAGGTCAATGTACCCCTCCCCACTCTCACCTGAGTATCAAATTGCTGCATGGTAACAAATCAGTAAGACATTAATGAGAGGGGTTTGTTTACAGAGACCTGGAAAAGTGCAAAATAGTAAATGAGCAGGTGACCAGCTACCTGGGAAAGACGTGTGATGCCCAGATGCTGAAGAGGCGTAACCTTTATATTTCACATTGCACATTATGAGGACCTGAGTCATGCTTTAAAGTTCCTATTGTCCAAGGTGACGTGATCTTGTGAAAACCAGCGTGTCTTCCCTCCACCCTTCCAAGAGGGCCTGACCTAGATGCTGTCCCGAGGCCAAGAAGCTTCATTTGCTCCTTACTTCTTCCCAACTTGGGCTGAGGACGCCCTCACCAGTGTGTGGTCCACAGGTTCTGGAGGGGTGAGATAGCATCAGCCACATTCAGGACACCACCCCACAAGGGCTAATTTTGTTTTAGGTGCTCAACGAACTGATAACAAGTCCATGTACAATCATTCACAGCTACCCCCACCCAGCAACTCAGCAAGACCTTTCCAGGCTCAAAGCTGTGAAGGCAGCAGTCTATATGGCCAGGGGCAGGACCCGTGGGAGCTAAGACCAGGCCCAGCTCCTGCCCACTTAAGAGGGTCTCACAGTAGGGTCTAGAGCCACCTCTCTTGGAAGCTTACCAGATGGGAGAATCCAATCTCCTAGAAGGCCAGATGCAGCCGCCAGTATTATCTGAGACGTCCTAGTCTTGGCTCTTGGACATCAATGGTGTGGTCAGGGCGGCTGCAACTAACTGGCCCCATAGAAAAGACCCTGCTGTGCTAACCATCTCTGTCTGCCCTGCCCCCACCTGGGTGTATTCTCTGTCTCTGCTCTTCCCTTTCAGGCTGACCCCTACAGACTGCATTCGCTAGGCTCCCAGGAAGCTGGACTTCTGGTGAGGTTCAGCCAACCAGAGATATCAACATGAGGCTAGAGGGGAGGAGAAGAGGGATGCAGGGTGCTTCTCCTCTACTCCTGCCTGACACCCACACTCCCCCGTGCTCACCCGGCATGTTCCCTTTCCCTGGCCAACTCCGCTGTAACTAGTCCCTAACACTCTTGCCTTTCCCAATGGTGGGCCATCTAAGCGGGCTTCTGTTTCCTGCCAGAACTCTGATTCTTGTGCCTGACGGAAAAAGAATATCGGGACGGAATCTTTGCCCCACCGCCTCCCCTTTGTCCTCCCTCCTCACTGCCAAGGTCAATAAAGATACCTGACTTGACTGTGTACCCCCAGGACTTATGACAGGTCCTCTATCTCCTGTGCCCCAGCCACCTCCCAGGGGGAGAACTCAATTTTGTGCTCTATCTCATCTGCTCACCATGGTGTAGACCCTGGGCTTGAATCCATACCTGGCCCAGTGCGATTGGCATTTGGACGGCATTGCCAGAGACAGACCCCCCAATTCAGCCCAGGCCCCACCACTCCTTATTGCCCTACTCAAAGCCACTGTACACATCTATCTGCCTGACCCTGAGAACCCTGAGTTTGGGGCCTCTGGATAAGGACAAGTGTAGTAGAGAACTTGCCATTTGGCTTTTCAGGCATTTTTGTAAAAACTACTTGAAATATAGATCAAAAGACTTACTTTCCCAATGAACTGATGCTCTTTAATTTTAATAATAAACTTTGCTTATTAGCATGTGTATCTTTGACTCTGCAAAACAAGCCCTACTTTAGGGAACAAGACTCCAGCCACCATGTATATGGGAAGACCACCAAGTCCTGGCTCTCATTCTAGCTGGCTCCTGGAAACATCACCCACTTTTGTGATATTAACATTACCCTTCCAATATCAAGGCAGGTGGGCATGGGCCTTCAGCTGTAGCAATAATATCACATGTGGCTAATTCTTTAACCCACACATGGATATATGCTGACTATACTCTGCATGAAACTGTGGAGACCATACGTGGCCTCCTTTGCAGAGAGACACAATTGTATCCAAAATTGGCTAAACATGTCCTGTTTAGATTCTAGAAAATCTGATGGGGCATTTGAGACCCAGGAGGCCATTAGCCTCTACAAGAGCCAGCTAATATCCAAGGCCAGACAAAGCAAAGGCCTTTGCAAAGTTCTCTTATCCTTGTAAAAGTCATGCAAGTGAAGGTCTCAAGTAGGTATGTCCTTCAAGATTCTTTCACTTAGTTTCACTATAATAGTGCAAAAACCAAATTATCCCTGGCTTGAACTATACAGAAAAACAAAATCTTTCCAAAAGTACCAATACTTGGGTTATTTTGAAAAGATGCAGCACTAGAATTGAGGCTGTCTGTTCCACCCACCTACACACAAAAAAGATGAATTTCTGAGCCTCTATGTGTATCGAACATACATACACATACATATATTTAAATATACATGCATACATATTATTTATTCATCATTGTGCATACGCCGGTCATATCCCATATCCCCCATTATGATCAGTGTACTCATCTGTGTGTGTGTGTGTGTGTGTGTGTGTGTGAGAGAGAGAGAGAGAGAGAGAGAGAGAGAGAGAGAGAGAGAGAGAGAGAGATATCAGGGCTTGAACCAAAGATCATTTACAGAAAACAGAATCTGTTCCCTTTGTTTAGATGAGAACACAGAGGCATACCTTAAGATTGCCTAAGAGTAGAATAACATGGTTACGTCTGGTTTACTCCAGATATTGTTTTAATTAAGAGTAGAATTCATTCCTTGGTCTCATTGATCCATAATTTGGAGCCCATAATTAAATCTAGAATATTAGAATAACTCTTTGGATTGCTAAGATCCAAAACCCCTCTTTCTCTTCTGTAAGAAGAAATATACATGGAATTATATAGAATTCAGAGAAAATGACCCACACAGAAAATTTCTCTTGGCTTTCCTAAACCAGATGAATGTAGGGATGAAGTAACAGAATGTTTCCTTAGGTATGGATAAACCCTCTTACAAAGTAGATACACACTGCTGCCTTTCTCCTGTGACATAAAAATAATGTTTACAGTATACTTTTGGAACTGTAACTCTAAAATACCATCCTTTTAAAATGGCAATATTCAATAATTGGCTTCTCCAGAAAACAGCAATCATAAATTAACGAAACACACAAGCTAGCAAATCAAACATGCACACAAACAAAAAAATTTTTAAAACGTATCTTAGACAGTAAGAATTTTGATCTTACTTTTTGACATTTAGGCAGTATCCACTGCTTTTCTGATCCAGGCCCTAAAGTCCCCTGAGATGCTGACAGGGTTCCCGGACATAATCCCAGTCTCCTCTTTCTTATTACACTGTTTGTTTATTATTCCCCCCAAGTAATCCACTGAACCAGTCACTGAGAGGTTAATGAAAAAAATCAACTTTATTCACAGAGGCTGAGACTTTGGGATAACAAAATAGCCAATGACAGCCCTTCCACCACATTATAAGAGAATCACAGTGAGCCTGGATCTCAACAATGGGATCTCTTCAAAGTTCTTAAAGTCAGGGACACTCTGCAGCTCACTAAAGTATTCCCACCAGCCTCAGTAGAATGTCGTCAGGGAAACATTTATCAGTCAGTGGCACATGGCATTAAGGATGAATTCTCAGAAAGTCAGCTCTGTGCCTACTACTTATTAAATTATTATGCTTGTCCTACATATTAACCAACAGGCTCTCTGGATGTAAAATTTGTGTTCGTTTTTATATCAGTCTTGAAAACCATTTAAAAAGTTATTTTAAAGACCTATCTCAGCCCACCTCCAAGAACTCATGACTTATTGTGCCTTTCCCACATCAGATAAAATTAAAGTAATTTGGAGGTTCAAGAAATCAAGTGTCAGAACCCCTAAGACAATCCAAAGAGAGGTACCATAAGAGGTTAGATGCATTTCCCGGAAGTTCCAAGCTGAATGGGATTGTGGATATCTCATTTTCTTAACCAGATCTTTGTTGCAGACCTCTCCCATGAGGCCCATCCCTCCCACCAGACTCCTAGTCACCTCCATAAGGGGTTTATTCCGCTGCAGGCTCTGGGTCTGCTGGGTAGAGGTTGGAGGGAGGAGAAGGGTCACAGACTGGGAATGTCTGAAAGAATCCTCCCACCATGCCTCACGGTTCTTTGGGGTCCAGAGAGCCACCTTCAGCAGACACCAGCAGAGTCCCTGATTCTTCCCAGCACTAACCCATCTCTCCCTCTACCTGCTTTTCGTGTGTTTGTTTCACCCGACTTTTTTGATGAATAGTAGTCCTTCACTACACAATTCTGGAAAATGCAGCAACAATCAAACCTAGATCTTGAAAAAAAAAACATGGAAATTGAAAATCTTATGTTGTTCGAGACATTTTCCCTCCCCTTCACATACTTCCGGTCTTCCCTGAAATCTCTGCTCCCTTAAAAACAAAAGCAAAAAGATAGGACGACTGCTATTGTTGGTAACATGCATGCGTTAGAAAAGATGAGTCTTGACTAATGAGCTATCATGTAACACGATGCTATATTATATAGAGTGCGCTTTCTTAACAGAAATTGTTAATATAAACATTTTCACTGGGCAATCATTATAGTAAAAAGAGTCAAGTATTTACGCAAAGCCTAGAACATGTTCCCTTTACTGTATAGAAAAACAAAAAGAGAGAGACAGAGAAATTCTCTAGTTAAAATAAAAGTGTGGTTTCTCATCTTCCACCTGGGCATTGGTCGTAAATCCTCACCAGGCCCTAGATCTGCCAAAGAACCTGAAAAACGGGGGTCACACACACCCCACGCAGGCGTCCCCACAACTTCAGGAACAACAAACCCAGCTGTGAGCACCCATCACCCAGATGGTTCAAAGCCAAAAAGCCTGAGTCACAGTGACAATCCAGCTGGCAATGGTCAGACGGTGGCTTTCAGATTGAAACAACCACACTGCGCCTGTCTGTCCTGCCCTTGGGTGATCTGGGCCCTCACATGCCCTAGACACGCAGGACCTGTGGTGGGTGGCGGAAGATCCCGCCATTAGATTGACCTAAGGTCAAAGAATTCTCCTGTTCCCACCGTAGGTGGTCTGAGACGCTCAAGTCCCAGTGAGGCAGGGTCTTTTAAACTCTGACGCCCTTCCTGGTTCTGGGGAGGTCCCCTTGGAGAAGGCAGGCAGGCATGCCCACCTGCGCGCCGGAGTTGGAAACACTTCCCAGGATCCACACCTCAGCCGAGGAAAAAGATCATTTTTTTTAAAAGTGGCTCCTTGCCCCCAGCGGCGGGAGCCGAGGTGGCTCACGAGGCGCTCTGACCAAGGCAGGGGAAAGAACGGAGCCAGTTTGCTTTACTGGAAGTGAAGCACGGTGTCGGGGAGCTGCAGAGGGAAGTAGGAGAAGAAAGGGATCCCGAGCTGGTAAAAGCCGCCCTGGACGTGCGGGTCGAGCATCAGGGAAGCGTTGAAAGGGGGACGGAAGCTAGCGGAGGTGGCCATAAGCGAGGTGCTGAGACAGCCGCCGGGCCCCTGCTTGGCGCCCCTGGAGAGCTCGGCCCCTCCAGCCGGCTTCTGGCCCTGCCGTCCTGCCAGAATACTGTCTATGCTGAAGCTCTTGGACTTGTCGGAGCTCTTCGGAGAGCTGCGCGAGGCAGGGCGCGGAGGGGATCCTGGGCGCGCGGGCTGGCCCACGGCCACGGCCCCAGCGCCCTGGACAGCGTCGCCCGCGTCCTCCTCTGGGGACGCTGGCCCGGGCCAGAGGAAGGGCGCCGGCGTGGAGGAGACTTCCCGGAGGGGCCAGAGGCGCGAGGGCGCTCCCTCGTGGCTGGGGGTCGCGGGGCCCGGGCGTCCTCCTCCGCTCCCCGCCTCCGGCTGCGCATCTACGCCGCGCTCCTGCGTCTCCGCACGGGCCCGCTTGGCCTCCGGGGCCCCGGAGCCCGGCTTGGGCTTCCTCTTCCGGCGCCGGTAGTTGCCATTCTCGAACATATCCAGGCAGCGAGGGTCCAGGGTCCAGTAGCTGCCCTTGCCCGGCCGCCCTTTCTCGCGGGGCACCTTGACGAAGCAGTCGTTGAGCGAGAGGTTGTGGCGGATGCTGTTCTGCCAGCCCTGCCGGTTGTCGTGGTAGAAGGGGAATCGGTCCATGATGAACTGGTAGATGCCGTTGAGCGTGACCCTCTGCTCGGGCGCATCCTGGATTGCCATGGCTATGAGCGCGATGTAGCTGTAGGGCGGCTTCTGGGGGGGCTCCGCCCGGCCCGAGGCGGCCAGAGCGGCCGCGGGGGCGAAGGCCAGAGGCAGCCCGGGTCTCTCGGGGCCGTACAGATAGAGCATGGGCGACGCGGCCAGGGCAGGCAGCCGGGGACCGAAGAGGTGGCTCATGGCGGGCGGGAACCGGCGCTGCGCCCCCTGCGACGCAGGCGACCGGGGCGGCTTAGGGACTGCGCCCAGCGCGGCAAGGGCCCTCCCGGGGAGCCTGCCGTGCGTCTGCCTCCGGTTCTGCCGCTCTCCCCGGCCGCTCCGCGCTCTGTCCCTTCTTCATGGCTTTAAAAATGTTAAATAATTGTTGTAAGTTTGCTATTATATGTTGACTTAACGCTGGAAAATAAATTGTCTATGATAAACAGTCGTTGTGTTCTCAGCCCACCCACATTAATTAAAATTTCATTGCTGAAAAACTCCAAGCTTTTCCCTCCACGTGTCTTTTTGATACCAGCCAATCGGTTTCGGGGCTATTCCTTCATTTGTTTATAGAATTAGTCTGTTGATAAGTCCGCCCACCCAAGTTGAATCAAGCTGTGTTTATTTGGAAAAATTTCCGGGCACCCAATATATAAACGCACTGATCTGATGTTTGAAATATCACGTCCACCCCTTGACGCTGTAAGCACACACAGTCAGTGAGGCAGGATGTGGACCTCGGTGGCTGGGAGTGGGGTCTGCCCCGCCAGGAAGGAGAGGTGGAGATGGCGCGGGGGCGGGGCACAGGGGTGAGTTTTACCGCAGGCCTGGGGGAGCCCCGTAATACCAGGGCCTCCCACATAAGGTTGTTGTTGTTGTTTTTTTCTTTCCCAGGCTTAATAGGAGATGTAGAGATGGCACAGTATCACAAAAAGCCTTCTGAGGTCTTTGAAAGCTTTTACATATGTTGGGGGGGAAGGCGTCTCTATCTAAAAGGTTTGGGAGTCTGATGAAAAAGGGATGCAGTCCTCCTTGAAAAGATCCTGGGCACTCCCCGCAGGAGTCTGGGCGCTCGCTCGCTAGGGGCCTGGTATCCCAGAGGCAGCAAGCCTTGACCTCCAGTGCTCCCTGAGGACCCGGGGAAGAGGATTCCAGGAGCCCAACTTTTCCGGAAGCCAAAGCATCCCCCGGCGCTGAGGAGCTGGAGAGGGCGTGGGTTACCTGGTCCCCAGGTCGGCTGAGGGAAGTTTCAGAATAAACCCGAGTGGAGAGTTCAGCGGGGAGAAACTAAGGTCTTTCTGATGGGTCTGAGGCTGCAAGCAAGAAACACCATAAAAGGGGAATTTGGCAGCTGGCGCAGGAGAGCTGGTATTTGTGAATGCGGGTCTCTTGCTTTATATTCTGCGCTTTCCTGTTTATAACAAGGAGGGGGGTTATAACAACTTTACAAGTGCACGCAGCTGGCCCGTGATTACATTAAGCATTTGGAAAGCCTGCTTGCTCTCCCCCGACCCACCCACTCACCCTGGGGTGCAAGCACCCCTCACCCCGTCTTATTTTACATTTAGCCACGTCACGATTTGAATCAAAAGCCTTGAATGATGCCAGTTCAGAAGGAGGTGTCTTTGCCCTCACTCCATCACGTGTGTGTGGGGGGGCAGGGGGCATGTAGCGTGACTAGTTCCCGCTTATGCTCTCTGCTGAATATTTTATAAAAGAAAAAAAAAGCACTTGGGATAACTGAATTAGCGACTCCAAAGGGAAAAGGGAGGGGTAGGGAGGCAGGTGGGCATAGAAATGGCCCACGCCTGGCTCCCACCCGGAATGGGGAGACAGGCACTAAACTTGCATTAAGAATGGTGAGGAACTGCTGCTGCTGCTGCTGCTGCTGCCACAGAAAGGTGTCACTATGCTGCAGACTGGCTGAGAGCACTCAGGAGAATGTCACTCCAAATGGGGAGCCCAGAAAGTAACTCCTGTGTTTGGGGGTTCCGGATAGCCCGCGGGGTAGCGGGTACGTTTGAAATACCAAAAAGGACGTGGCAATCAGGGTCGAAAAACGGGTTTGGGAGCAGGCCCGGCTTGTGGGAGCTGCATGCCAGGCCCTAGGACACCTCCACGCCTCTGTCCAGGGCGCTGCATTTCTAACTCAGGCCAACCGTCCGGCCCAGTCTACTCTGGCCTAGGTCTTGAGGATGGCCCTCCTGCCAGGAGGGGGCGGGGCGCTGTCTCAAGCTCTCACCGGAGCACCCCTTTCAATCCTGAAAAAAAAGAGCCTCAATGCCCCCTCTTTTACAACCCGCGGGTCCCACAGTCCCCTGGGTCCCCCAGCCTCTCCAGACCAGCGCTCCCCAGCAAGCTTAAGTTTGGATCCAGCTCGTTTCCAGCCTCGGCTCCCGCTCTAACAGACCCAGAGCAAGAGATAAACGGGCGTCACGACGCACCCCTCCCCCCACCTCCGCACCCGGAGCTTCCCCGGCACCAGGAGTCCAGCACGCACATCAGTGCCTCTCCCGAAAGGCACGCTGCAGCGACGCTTCTTCAAAATTCTAAGGCAAATCCGAGCTTGAATTCGTATAAGAATAAACACCACCCAATTTGGGCATGGGCTGGACACAGGCGGAGACACGCGTGGCTAATGGGCGGGGCACTGATAGTAAACGCGGAAAAAAAGAAAAACCCAAGTTCTAGTCGCGGTCTGCAGAGGCACATCCAGCCCCGCGCGTATGCAGAAGTTTGTAACATATCCTTAGAAGTTCCAGCCGTGGAACTCCGGCCTGGCGCCCCTACCCGTTTCTTGATCAGGGATGAATCCTGGGCTCCCAGGTGAAGAGGTTTTGTAACTGGAGGAGCTGCGGTGGGAAGGACCTCGCTGGGGTGTATTTCCGGGGAGCGCATGGCCCAAGCCCCAAGCGTCCGAGAGCGGATGCGCCCTCGTGCGGAAGCTCTGTCGCGTGAGGACAGAGCAGAGGCCCATTGGGGTCCGCAGGGGCAGCCGAGCCTGCGAGAGAGCGGGGCGGAGTGGATGTCCTAGAGAGCCAGGTAGGGAGAGACACTGCAAGTTCCCTGCAGGTTCTTAAGTCTTCAGATCCCAGAAAAGTACATTCATCTCTGAAGTCAGTGCAAGCGCCTCAACCAGTCTGCAGGAAAACCTTGAGATGCCCGGATGCTCCGGAAAGGACCTCAGCGCTTCCAGCAGAAATCGAGCTCAGTGTGGGATGAGGGCAGATGGTACAGTACCATTGCCAGCCCCCACCTTTCAGGAGAAAGCCTTCGCCTTGGGCAGGTTGGTCGGAGCCCAGGCACCAGCCTGGACCAAAGAGGCCTCAGAAAAAGAGGCTGAGGGGGAGGGATGAATTCTAATCACTGCCGGCTCACCACCAGGGGCATCTACCTTTCCTTGCTCCGACGGTAAATAAAAAAGCAGAGTCAAGTTAATGATGATCAGAATCATCTCTCCAAGTATGTGCATCACGTTCTAAGTGTGAAGACAGTTAACAAATTATATATATATATATATATACACACACATACATAGATATGTATATATATACATATATGTGTGTGTGTGTGTGTATATATATATATATATATATATATATAATTCTATCATATGTGCATTTGGTTAGGTCATTCCATCCTCACCATAACCCTAAGAAACACAAATCTTGATCTTTTCCATTCTGCAGATCCGGAAACTGAGGGCAGGAAGTTAACTCACCTCAGGGCTCCCACTAGGAAGTGTTGCAAAGCCAGGAAAACAATTACATTAGGGACCTGTGGAAGTTCACTTGAGAACCCTCGAAGCATGTATAAAGACAGGGGACTTGCCCATTTCACAGGTGATGAAACTGAGGCAGGGCACAGAACACCCTAAGATATGAGAGGTAGTAAATAACAAAACAAGGATGGGAACCCACATGGTTTCCTCTAAAGGTGGGTTCTCTGAGGTCTGACAACCTCAGATGTCCACAGAGGCTCAGAGAGATGTGCTGGGAGTAAGAAAAGGGAGGGGATTCCTCCAGAGAGGAGAGGTATGCGGCACCCCCATACCTCTGTGAGATTTGGACCATTATAAGTAGGAGACCCAGAGTCCTCACTTACGTGCTACCAAAACCCAGAAGACTCTCTCCTTCTCTCCCGTCCTCTCCCACTTTGAAAGGACCGGGGAGCAGGGTCTTCTGCTGCTTCTCTGTGATGGGATGGAGGGGGGACTGAGCCATGATGGTAACTGTTGGCTGGTCAGCTGATGCTGAGTGAAGCCCTGAGAGTTGGGCAGGACTTTCCGAAATACTGATTTCTTTAGAGCTCACCTTGTTCACTTCTGGAAGCGATTTAAAGGGTCTAAGCAGGGGCAATTAGGGCATGTGCACTGCCCTGCCCAAGCAGTTTTGCCTGAGATGTGCAGTTATTTGAGTCCAAAGGTTATTTTCTCTTCTGTTATCCCAGTAAACCCTAAGAGATCACAGTGAGTTTTTACTATGGACTGGGCGGTATCAAAGCACTTTCCTGATATGTGTTGGATTCCTTTATCCTGACAATAGCCCTATTCGATGATCCTATTGTTTTTCAGTTGAGAAATGAGCTTGCAGAAGTGTGGGTAGTTTGCCCAAGATCACATGAACCCTCAGCTGGCCTGTGCAGAGGGCCTGAGCTGGCACGTGTGGCTTCAGCTCCGAAAGGCTCTGCTGGTAGCAGAGAGAGCCCAGAGGGGCTGCTGGGAAAGGGAAGGCTCAGGGCCAAGAGCCACTAAGCCAGGGGTCATAGCGGCCTCCCTGACCTCCCAGCCTGAGTGGGCATAGACTGAGCACAAAGCTGTACCCCCAGGCTTAGGAGGTGAGGAACGCCTTCCCAATGCTCCCCAATTCCATTCCCTTAAAGGGACCTGCGATGCCAGCAAGCTCATCAATCTGTCAACCCATCCCCTTCCTTCCACTTCAACTTTTCACACCCTCACAGCCCCAGGATAAAGTCCTCACAAGTCTGACACTGGAAAAAACCATAGCGCCAGAGAGACACATTCAAGAACCCAAGTCTACAAGCTGCGTCTCTCTGCCTTCACTGCACAGCAGGCATGTTGCAAAAGCAAGGGAAAGGCTTGCACAAGTCCAGGCGGTGGCATCTTCCCAGGCGCAGTGGCCTGTCCCTGACTGTGGATGCCTAGCCTTCCAAGCTCCCTAAAACATTCCACCCCCTTCCTCACATGCCTATGTCAAAAAGCAAACATTTCAAACACCCCGGAGAGCTGAGGCCACGAAAGAAAGAGGCAGGCAGTGAATGCTTCTCAAAGTTTGGGAAAGCATTTCAAGTATGTGGTGCCAGGAGGCAGTCACTGGTGGCTCAGACCTAGTGGGTCCTGCTCACCTGGAGTCCAGCCCCCCAGCTGTCCCTGGCCTGTCTACCCCTAAGGCACAAACCCTCGGATCTCTACTTGTCCACCACACTGGGAATCAGGAGTGCATGGGGATGACACGGACACACATTCCACAAGGTGCCAAGCATAGGCTCCAAAACCCCAGCACATTCTCAAGAAACTCGGTTCTGCACATTAGTCATGTGTGTCTTTTCTTGGTGTCACTCTCCCCACCCACCTCAGTTTTGTAATTATCAATAAATTCCGATTGGGCGAACCTTGCCCAACACCCCATTCAATTTTTTGGATTTGGGTTGGGGAGAGGAGCCAGGAAGCAAATGCCACCAGGACTCGGTTGGGTTTTTTTGTTTGGGGGGATTTTCTTTTGGGGGAGGGGGAGTTGAGGGGGACCTGGGAACTCCACTCTTTGTGCTTTGAGTGCAGCTCACAAGCCTCTCCCAGGCCCAGAGGTGACCCCCAGGCTGTCTTGGGGTAGAGGGGAGGAGATAGACCCCGGAAGATTTATGAGCCAAGTGCCGAAGTTCCCAGGACCCTGCGTTTTCTTCCCTCCAACATCGAATCTTCATTTCTTGCCGGCTGGGAAGGGGAGCCAGGATAATTGAGGGCCCGTGACAGGAACCCAGGCAAAAGAGTTAGGGAAAGTGCTGAGCTGCCCCCAAAGTCCTTACACTCTCTTGGTCTTGTTACAGATGAGAAGACCCAGGCCAGGGTGGGAAAGTGGTTTGTTCACAGC